CATACCCATAGACACCGGGTATGAGCAGATCATTTATATGCAGCAGGAAGAGAGTTGCGGAGAGAACGGACCCCTGAGGAACACCGGCGTTAGTCGCCACAGTATCGATGAGCAGCCATCAACGACGACCCGGAGAGACCGTTCACTCAGAAAGTCCTTCACCCAGACAATTAGGCCAGGGGATAAGCCGTACGCTGAAAGCTTGCCCAATAGACTAGCGTGCCAAACCCTGTCAAAAGTCTTCGAAACATCGAGGGAAACAGCAAGTACTTCACCACTGTTCTCGAGGGCTTCGCCCCATATGTGAGTGGCATACGCTAGAAGGTCCCCAGTTGATCGATTTCGGCGAAACCCGTACTGGCGATCACTGAGGAGATCATTTTGCTCTAGGTATGCCATGAGGTGGGCGTTCAATGTACGCTCCATAATCTTGCAGAGTATGGAAGTATTGAAATTGGCCGATAGTTGGCAGGGTCGGTACGGCTACCTTTTTTAGGCACAGGCTGCACATTGGCCAGCTTCCAAGATTTAGGCACTATTCCAGTCCTGTATGAGAGGCGGAATAAGCGTGTCAGTCAACACAGGAAACAACTCAGGTGCGCAGACCTGTAGAACTATAGCTGGTATACCATCAAGTCCACTAGCTTTGTTCACGTCTAGACTTCACAAGGTTTTTAGAACCTCCTTGTTGGTGATACGGACCTCTGACATAGAGGTACCGCAGTGAGGTAATTGAGATGGTACGCTGTTGCTACTGTCCAGACGCGAATTGCAAGCAAAAAGAGAACCAAATAAATCCGCTTTCTCCTTAGGCGCATGCGCCAGTGAGCCATCTGGTTTTACCAGCGGAGGCAGTGTAGACTGACAGAAGTGTGTCTTGACCGCTTTGGTGAGAGACCAAAAAGCTCTACTGCCAGATGGCTTGACAGAGAGCTTTGTGCCGAAGCGTTTAATAAAGCGGTCGAAACTGGCTTGGCATAATGCCTTTTTGCACGACTTGGCGGCTTGGTTAAACGGTCTCTTCTTAAGGCTAACATCCGGAGCATAACGGTTTCGTGCATCGACCCAGGATAAGTACGCCATATGCTTGTGCTTTTCAGCACGTCGCACTCGGCGTTAAACCAAGGGTGAGCTTTACCACCAATGGGCACGTCAGCAAAAGGGATGAAATACTCCACGCTTGACGTATCACATTGGTTATGGTATCCACGCAGCTCGACGGGTCTTCAGAGTATGGAGTGTAGAGTAGAAGGAGAACCATCTTATAAGGTGCGAAAGTTGAAAAAGTGTCCCAATATATACTGAAAATAGAGGTTCCAAAACCTACCATAATAGCGCTGGCTTCTGAAAAACTACGATATGAATATAGCTGTTGTAGACGGAGTGAAGTCAGCTGAATTAAAATATTTAAAAAATTTCATGACTAGAGTAGTTAGTAAAATGCCAGTATACAAAACCTCAACTATTTACGTAGTACAAAACCAAGCGGATTGGTCGGTCCTTGTTTATTTCTCCATCTTATTGTAATAAATTTTGGCGCTTTTTTTTAAATTTATCCTATGCTACTGCAGCGCCACCCTTATTGGACGCGTTTTTAGGGACACTTTTCATATACAGAGATGGTCCTCCTTCTACTCTACACTCCATACTTCAGAGGAAAAGCAGACCTGCCGCCAAGGACAAGATGCAAAGAAATGCCGAATCTCATCCCAATCTGCTGACTTGTATCGCCACATTCGTCGCACTCCGTGGAAATCGTAGTTAGGTGGGGAATATAACGACACAGATTTCACCAGACAGTGCTCAGAAGTTCCCAAGCGTGAGGTAACCTGAACATCGTACCTGTCTGGATGGGTCTGCAGCAGAAGGTCGAGGTAGTTGGCTGTGTGCCCATCCACATCAGGTACCCTAGTCGCTTGTTGTACCAGCTGGGAGAGCCCCAGCGACAAGGCAAAATTCCACACCTCTCTCCCAGCGTGGTCGGTCTTCTGGTATGGGAAGAGCCAGTCCTGATGACAGGCATTAAAGTCCCCCATAAAACCAACTGTGCATTAGGGTACCGATTTAGAGCCAGATCAGAGGCTTACATTGAGATGGGTAGTGATGCTGTTGGTTTGCATTCTTTGGCGTTATCGTGTAATTGGATCCTGATGGTAAGCAGGGTTTGTTACCGAGCAGTTTTTTTTTTAAGTACTTTTGAGATTTATTTCTAACATCAATTCACAGAATGTGATATTTTTGCTCTGTCGTCTTTAAAGTTTAAAAAATGATAACTAAATTGCTAATTGACTATAATGATTTATAAATTATGTAATAATTAGCACAATTACCTACAACTCTCATAAATTGCACAAATGTATTAAACATAAAACTATGCATGTAATATTACTTTGCGGGCATTGGTGTGGGTTACACATTAACTATATCTTTATAAATTAATTATCTTGTATAACATTAATGTGTAACTGTTTTTTTTTTGTCCCAATAAAAAAATGCGTCCATGTAAGAGAAAATCCTATTGTAATAAAATACCTACAGTACTCTTCAAAAAAAAGTTGAGATAGGCAGTAAATGTATCCCATATTGTATTGGTGATAATCTTATGATAAAAAAAACAAAGCCAGCTTGCTATAATTTGTTTATTAAATTATAGAACTGAAGACAGATACCACTAAATAGTGTGATTCTTTTTTTGATAGAAAGCACAAAATTTATATTTAAATAATATTTTTTACTCATTCTTATTTAAAAAAAAATTTACCTAAGACCTTCAACATACAGAATTTGGTTTGTTTTTGGAGCATCGAATGCAGGCATGTTGTTGAAGTGCTAGTTCTGGACTTCAGATGTACCCAGAATGTTATTCAACAAAACTTGTTGACACTTAAAATTAAAATCAATAACATAATTGTTGCCAGCAACCTACATCAAAGTCAAGTGGTAACATACCATAAATCTTAAGATGTGAAGGGTAGGTACCGCGACTCGGAACTAGTAATACCTAAATATTATTATGAAATCTTGTTAGCAATATGAAATGATAAATAATGGTTTCATATTGTTTTGTATATAAGAATTTTCATATATTTGTCAAAATATACTATGTACAACATATAGCCTCGACATTTCATTTTATTTATGCAATTTGACGTAGTAGCAAATGTTTTTATTTAAACATTTGACTATTCTATCTACAACTAACAATAAAATACAATTCTTACTGCTAAAACAGGTCTAGATAAGTACACTTAGGATATTATGATATTGAGCACCTTCACGACATTCCGAAGATGGAATCGTATAACTAAGAAATACTAAACGAACTAATTCATCAAAGAGTAAAAATAAGTTTGAGTTAAAATATATATAAATACAGATCTTTACAGTGTTTCTAAGAAATGTAAAAAAAAAAACAAGCATGTGAATGAAATGCATGTGTATTTTGTATTACCCGGCTTACTAATAAACATCGAACTTTAGAAAGACACTGTCGGATATTGTTGGTTTTGTAGAGCGTCGTCTCTGTCGTTGAAATACTAACAGTCTAGTATCTTGTAAATATGTATTAGTGTCTTTTTCTAAGGTTCGATGTGTTAAGTTTATGGCCGCTCACTACATTTTTTTAGATTTTTTTTTCTGTTGAATTATCTTTTGCGACAGAAATAATTAAAAACACACTGCCGTCAGTCATATTTTCAGTGCAATACTCTGTACAAAGTAACTGACATGACAGCTAACGGATTAATATTCCATCAACGCACAATAAAATAAGTAATATACTCCTCATCTTTACTCTTTAGCAAATTGAATAAAACAATAAACTCTTAATGAAAGCAAAACAGTTTCAACTATTATTTACATAAGAACACAATGTTGTCGAGAATTCTTTTTTCATTGAAAATAATAACTACACTATAAAAATGCAATAATAGTCGTTTTAAAATAATATACACACATTCCCAATTTTTTAATCAACATATAATAATTAATCTAAAATATCTTTTATACGCTAATTAATTTCATGAATGAAGTCTTCTCAAGTTAAAATTTATGAAACACACATGCAGTAAATTGAAAATTGGACGGATATTCAGTCTTATAAAATTATGTATGTATATTGTTGCTAAAATGCAGGACAAATACTTTTTATAATTAAATTCTCGTTATGTTTTCTCATCGAAAGTGACTTCCAGTTGACAAAAAATATGTTTAACAGTAAACAAGTTTAATAAGTAAAGAAGCAGCAGTGCAATTGTATAGTGGCAATCGTAATTGGCTTCATTTTGAAGTTAGGTTTCGTTGAATATAAATGTATCAGTATCAAATATAAGGGGACATCTTTTTTTTATTAATATCTTATTTTTAGGTAAAATATTAATATAATGAAAAACCATAGAACAATTGCGGAATGAATTGCACCAGAGTTACACAATTACACTGCTGGTCCAAGAGGAGGTTAATATAGTCATAATTCTTACCATCAGGATTGTGACAGTTGTCTTGTGGTTATACTCTTAATGTCTTAGCTTAGCGTTCAATATGATTTTTAGTATTATTTAAAATTATATAATTATTTTAAAAACAAAATCTATGAAATATGAAAACATTATTATGCAAAAATAATTATACTACGAAGAAATACTTTGATATAAATAATAATAGTGAGTTAACTCGGCCCCGCCTGACAGCATCGATGTATACCTACAATTTTAAATGCAAAACTTGGATATTCCTTTATTAATAATGACAGCAATCAGGCAAAGCCGCGAGGCGCAACTAACAAGTACAGAATTATTTAATGTAAAGAATACAACTGTGAAATATTAAAATATAATTTTGTAAAAGGTATTTTTGGCAACTCTAAATATTTAGGGCCTAGTTTCCTGTTGGCATTTTGTGTCCCGACAGTAGAGTTTACTCACTATTAACATTTATTGTATGTAGTATTCAATGGTACGTTCATTGGTTCATTTAAACTCAACAACAAGAAGAAGAACAACTTATGTCTCTTTGCTGGCACTCTCATAAGTGCCTGAGGACTCGTCATCTTCCGTGTCATTTGTTGCTGAAGGCTGAGATAATATGTTGCTAGTTATTGGCAACTCACTACCGACTCGTACAGGTTTCCTCCAGCTTTGAATAGATGGCACGACACGCGATGTGTTCAGTGGTATCCCTAGCTCGTCCAGTAAATTTCTGTAAGTTATTAGTATATATTACAGATTCATCCCGTATCTCTCACATAATACCAGCGTGAAAAAGCAGCTTATGCTGCTGTTAAGCGAAAATTTTACTGGAAACGGCATTCCATCTTAGGTGTGAAAACGCATCTACATTTCGATTCATAATCGAGGATAGATGAAGATTTCTATGGGCCATAGAATCCACTTGCCATCAGGTGGACTGTGTGCTCGTTAGTCACCCTTATTCTATACTAGCTGTGCCCGCGGCGTAGCTCGCGTATACAGTTTTTACATAAAGAATTTGTCGTTTAGGTAAGAGAATATTAAACGATTTATTTCATTACTGTATCAATAAGTGGTAACTAAATAAATCATTATCATCAAAGTTCTAAGTCGTTTATGATAGAGCTTCTGTGTAAACGACGTTAGAAGTAGGCTTAGCCGGGGTGTACACAAAAAGGTTACGGGGGCTACTAACGCGGGAAAAAGCAACATAGAGTTGGCCATGTGCAAAACAGTCAGTACTGAGGTACACTCCTATAACGCGTAAAGTTTGACCTTGCGCTTTATTTACGGTCATCGCATAACACACGCTCACTGTAACTGGGAACTGAACGCGCTTAAAACTGAAAGGAAAGTTACTTCTTAATAGAGGGTTTTTGGGCAGTGCTGCCAGATAAAAAAAAACTCATTCAGCTCTAGGACAACACAAAAAGCGCTAGATTTCATGAAAACAGCGCTTCAAAAAAGCCCTAGATTTCGCGCTAAATTAACTACAAACAAAGTTTTTGTTTTTTTTATATAATCATAATAAAGAAAACAACATTAAGTTTTTTTTCTGGCAATATTTTTTTGATGTATCAATACTTCGCAGGACATCGACTTATAATTATGGCAATTGCTGTCAACAGTAGTTAGTACTGTACGAACAATAAAAATGTCATTAATTGTTTTAAAGTGCAATGTATTTCGCAACTTAGTTTCAGATGTCAGCATCTGATTGCGGTTGCTACACAGTTTCTTTGTGTTATAACTTCTAAGTAACTTTTAACTTAGCTGTGCTCTAAGCAACTGATTGAAACTGAATAAAGCAAAATAAATGCATTGCCAAAATCATGAACGAAAACTTTAATAAAGGGGATTTCCCCGCTTATAGTCGTCGTAAAAAAATCAAGTTGATCATCCTAAAGGGGATGCCAGGAGATCCATAGCACAGGGTATCCTAGTTTGGACTCGTCTCCCATGCTCTTTGTTTTGTGGAAAAAATATGTTTGAAAAAGATAAACTGCAATGTACTATTTGTGGGAAAAAATACTAAAGGTCATTATTATTATTATCGGTAATGTGGACTAACAGTGCTGCTATAAAAGAGTTAATAACCCGCAGGTCGCTAAAATATTGAAATGTGTGCTAAATACACCAAAAAGCGCTGGATTAAGCTAGGTGCTAAAACTTAATCGAAATGCGCGCTATACATTCCACTAAGCACTAAATCTAGTTCCCAAAGCGCTAAAATGGCAGTACTGATTTTGCGTATATTATAAATACAATATGACAACATTTCGTTGCAAAATTTTTATTTTTGGTCGGGTTCCGTTGTATGGCTTCGATGGATACAAATTTCTTCAGTAAGTCTCAATACGATTCATCGGCGAAAAATCTCAACACAGCAATTCAGAAAAGTTTGTAATTTGTACAACTCCATCTATCGTCCTTTGTGTGAGAAAACATCCTTTTTAAATCTCTTTTTATGTTTTAAGTATAAATATATTAATTATTATGGAACGTTTTTTTACACACAAATCTTTTTATTACTATTTCTGAGATTTTATGGCGCCATTGAACAAATTCAAACCTACATTTCAAAATAATAATCATTACTTTCGATAGAATTAACCAATTTTAATAAAACAAAGATTAAAAAATGTAACTCGAAGATACGCTTTATGATTTTCTTAACGATTTCTTTGAAAATAAAAGATGTTTACTTTAGACGTGATGCGTTCATATAATAACAGACAAATAGACAGACAGACAATTCTAAAAATTATAAAATGTTCTTATTTAATTATTTTCAGTTCCCCATAATGATTTTTGCCACCAAAATATATATACAATGTACAGAAAGAGACACAACATGTTATCATCATTTTTATTATATGTATATATTTAAAGAGAGATGGCGCTGCTAACATCAATTCTAAAAATAAAAGAGATTAATTGACGCGATTGATACATTATATAAAACGCAAGAGAACTTATAAATTAGGTCCCTGCACAGTAAGCAAAAAATAAAGTTTGACTCTCGCCAAAACCAACGCAATTGTTAATAGCTCTTTTAAAATTTGATTTACCACATAGAGTACTCGGCGGTAAAGAATAAATTGAGTTTGTCAACACGCAGTAGGGCAGCGAGTAATATAATAAAGATTAGCAGTAAATATGAAAACTCATCTACAGGAAAAAACCACATGGCAAGCATTACATTTTCACAACACCACCATCTATCGAAGAAATGGGTTAACTATTGTGCTTCAGATTTAGTTAATAAGGTTAATATATTTTTGTATAATATATTTAATACGTTCTTTAATACTTTTGTTTACTGCGTTTTAGATATACATAATTATATCATTTTTTTACATAATTTAACTATGATTTATGATATGATATTAGTTTAAAATGCACTGGATGACTCAAACAAAGCCACCGTTGAGCAAATTCGTACCTATACTTCCCTACCCATACTTCAGAATATTTATCATAACTTTTGATGGAATGAACTGATTTTAATGAAATAAAGACTAAATGTAACCCGAAAATACACTTTATAATTTCCTTAACAATTCTTATGATATAAATTAGTACTTTATACGTGATACGTTAACAAACAAACAGACAGACAGACAGACTGACAGACAGACAGAAAATTCTAAAAATGGTAGAAATGTATTTAATTACTTATTTTTAGTACCCCTCAATCACTTTTATTACAAAAATATAAAATGTACAGACATCTACTATTTACAGTTTTATTATATGTAATAGAATAGATAATTAAAAATTAAAAATATTGTACAGCCGACTTCAATATAAGTTATTAAGAATAACTCAATAACTATTGGTCTGACCTTTATCAAATTCATATGGGACCACACGAGAAGTACCAGCCTTCAAATAAAAAAAGAATCATCGAAATCGGTTCACACAGTAAAAAGTTATGAGGTAACACACATAAAAAAACATACAGTCGAATTGAGTACCGTCTCCTTTTTCTGCCTATGAACCTCTACTGTTATGGAATATTTGTCTCAATCATCACGCTTGGTAAGCGAATAGACTATCGCAGTACCGGATGTCGATGTAAACGAAATAATTGTATTGTCATTTAGTGGAAGCCATAACATAGATCTTTCTCCGGTCGTGTCGGCTTACCGTCCCAACAACGGACTATGAGAATGAAGTAGTAGAGTGCACCTGTGCTTTTGCACACAATCATGCGCTATAATCCTGTCCTGCGCAGATGGCTAGACTCTGTTGAGACTGGCCACCGTGATCGAACGCACGCTTAACCATAACTTCTTTTTATAGAATATGGGTGACAAACGAACACACAGTCCACCTGATAATAAGTGGATGCTGTGGCCCATAGACTCAATTAAGAATCAAAATGCAGATGCGCCGCCACCCCTGAGGACTGAGATGGAATGCCTCGTTTCCAGTAAAAAGACGTGTTAATATACGAAGAGAAAACTATACCCATTTTAAATCAGCGCTATTAAATGCTAAACGCAAGCAACCGGGATTTGAACCCCGCCGGCACCAATGTAATTGTTATTTCACCAAATTCCAAAACTAATAAAAATGAACAACTGGAAAAATATTAAATAAATGCTCAAACAGTATTTCATCGACAAATTTTTAACGACATCTACTAATAACTTAAACTAAAATATAAAACTACAAGTATATCCAATAAAACATCATAATATACATAAATAAAATTTTACAAATACATAGATACACAGAATTATAACATTATTATCTCAATTACCAATTTTCATTTAACATACACCTATATTTTGCTTTGGTACAAACCTAGTTAAAAAAAAACATCTTGCTGTTTTGTAACACAATTTATATGCGTTATTAAATAAGTTGTCGCAACGCGAACCGATTGAACATGATCGAAGTTACGAATTGGCGGTACATGGAAAAACTTGTAAGTTTATTTGTACTGTCGGATGTTATTAAATAACTATACTTTGTAAAAAAAAAATTGCAGTTGTAAGTGCTGATTTACCTACCACGTGCTCAGCTGTCAAGGGAAACATCGTGAGAAAACCTGCATGAAATAAATCCAAGTCCACCAAAACATAGGGGCAGCACATCCATGATAATAATTTCATATTGATAACGCCTTTATGCCGTAGCAGTAAGAGCGGTTTTTTGTCGACTTCAAAAAAAACGTTCTGCATTCAACTGTATGTTTTTTGTACGTATGTTACGTTATATCATAAAAATTATAATAAACAAAATGAAATCATAAAGAATAATAGTATTAAATTGATTAGCGCTCAAGCTGTCACGCACACTGAGATAACATTGTAATGTGGATCAATATCACGCCATTTTAGAGCGATCGCGTAGATTTTGACTTGCGCATATTTGAATAGACGCCCTTAAATGTGCAGTTGAATGTGAAATACAGCTTGCTTAATATACAAACAAAAACGAAATGAATTACGGTTGAATTTCGACCACTATTCATTATTATTTTTCATCCATCTTGGAATCGGTAAAATAGTTATTAACTTTCTTTCGATTGTTTAAAATGTATTGGTACTAAAGTCTGAGCTAAGTCTCTGGAAAATTACTCACTCAACATCTTTATCGTTGCGTCTCCAGCTGAAGAACGCATCGTCAAGATTAAACGTGAGGTTGCTTTTCATCACCACCTTCACCGGCGGTTTGTCAACGCTGCGACTGTGTGGGCGTGGTTTAGCAGCCACCGATTGCTATGAAAACAAAATTTGTAACTCAATAATAACCATTTTTTTTTACTGCCTATATTATTACATATAAGTTTTAATTTTTGTTATAATTCTAATTTTTATTGATCGTGCAGTGGCTGTGTAAGAATATCCACTACCCTATATTATCCCGTGGGTTTCGTATGAGGCGGAAGTTAGAAAGCCTTGCAACTATGGCAAATATTCCCCCTATGAGGTAATCTATGGGGAAGCCTAGGTTCAGCAGTGGACCTTTTGATAGGCTGTAAGGAATGAATGAATATTATCACGTGACTGAAAAACAAACCAAAAATGGACAACTAAGTCTTTCTCCATAACAGTTAGAAAATAAAAAAACTGCGGCCGCCAACCGCTATCACGTCCAAGCTTGGTAGCTATAACAAATATCACTCTTATGAGGCAATCTATGAGGAGACCTTTACTCAGCAGTGGGCTTTGATAGACTTTAATGATGATTATGATGATGGACGATGTACCATAATTACGGCGTGTGGTAGTAACATAGAGAGATGCAGATTGAAATTGATTTATAAATACTACTCACGTGCGACGAATATTCTTTTGAATGCTCATTCGTTTGTTGATGCGCGCGCGAGTGCGGGTGCGCCCGCTGCAGCCTCTGGATGAGCACGGCCGGGCTCCCGTGCGAGCGTGACGACCCTGATAAATAAGCCACTTGATGCTTTTTGATTTTTCAGTTCTTCATTAGTAACAATTTACAAGTACCTAATTGATTCCAAAGTCATAGCATTAATGACGAACAGATCATATCATATTTTATCTACCGACTTCAAAAAGGAGACGGTACTCAATTCGACTCTGTTTTTATTTTTATACGTGTTACCTCATAACTTTTTACTGGGGGACCGATTTCGATCATTATTTGTTATTTGAAAGCTGGTGCTTCACATGTAGTCCCATATAAATTTGATCAAGGTCTGGCCAATAGTTTTTGAGTTATTCTTAATAATTTATATTGAAGTCGGTTATACAAAATTTTTAATTTTAAATTATTTGTCTCATCCTAAACCACATATTGTGAATGAAACCTAATTTTCGAGTTCTATATTAATCTATATTACATTTTCTCTCTACTGCTGGACATTTCTTCGCCCAGTGTAAGGACGATATGCTAGATTGGGAAATTGGCTACCGAAGTCAAATGTATCGAATTCTAACGCTGCTCTATGTCTGTCTGTTTTAATTTTAGTCTTTAAAGTAAAAGAAAAAAAAGTGTTTTTATTACGATTAAAACTATCGTTAACATAGGGAATTATCGAAAAATTTTGTGCCCGCCTGCTCGTAAACCCTCATAGAATTGAAGACGTAAATAGGCTGAATTATTCTTTAAGATGTTACTTTACAAAGTTTAATCTTCGCAGAAATAAATAGTTAATTTTATCATATATCCGCATTTTATCTTTACATTGTGAACTGAACACTTACCGGACGATGTGTGATGTTCACTTTCCACGCTTATCATCAAGGAGCCATCCTTATCCTCTGTTGATAGTACTTTATTGTCCTTTTCAGAATCCTCTTCCCACTCCTGCAGATATGCTCTGTGAAATACAAAATAAATTAGTGAAACAGAAACAGAAACTGTTTTATTCAATATAGATTATAAGTAATACTTATTGCAAGTCACTATTTTGTTTAATTACCACTGCACTGGTTCGAAAAAAAACCCTCTGTCCTGGGAAGAACCAGCAAGAAACCAAGCGGGACTTTTTAGTGATACTACATATTTTAGTATTTTTACTATTCACTATTTATTTATAATTTTTTAATATTCAAAATGTTGACGGGATTCACAGCTTTATGTTTTGCGACATTTGATTATACAACTACCAAGAGGAAGCTTTGTGTCCTACAGTGGAATGTTATCATGAATATTTTAGTGCAGTGTTTCGAATACATTGTTCTGCCATGGCCCGGTAATTTTCACACTATACCTTCGTGACCCACTTAATACTTTTAAACCAAAGCTAGTTCCATTAAGTAAAATAATACACATTTATTAATAGTAAAAATGTTTTAAAATGAATGTTAACGATGCGTTGATCGATAGTACGTATTATTTTTAAAACAAGGCGGGAATGTTGCGACCCGGTATTTTATTTTGATGGCCCGGTACCGGATCGCGACCCAGCAAATGGGAAACAGTGTTTTAGTAGTATCTAGGTTTACCCGTAAGATGGCATAACTGCTGAACCGTGAGTTTTCGAATATACGAGTCAGAACAAAGATTTGTGCAAAACACAAATTGGTTTTCGGGTCTTTTTAAATGGTATTAGAGTGACAAACGATCTTAGTTTGTCTGATGGTCGATGGCTACTTGTAGCCCATGGAGAGAACTTATCTCGAAAAAAAAACTGCAGATGATCACCTGTGAGTACTAAGACAGAACACCTGTAATTATACAGCAATGCAAGCACTGCTATTTGGCAACAAGGAGACATTTCATTATCAAGATGAAATGCCTTACCGGCTTTGATTATATTGGTTTCATAACCTTTTACACTGTAATAGCAGTGGCTACATTGCTGTTTTGTGGCAGAGAGTGGTACACGGGTACCGATCCAGACGATTAACTATGCAGAAAAGGAGAACCAACACATAGTATAGTCTGGTTTTGTTATTATCAGTGTCTCTGAGTGCAGGGATCAAGAGTATCAGAAACTGCATCCTAGCCTACCCCCAATCTTATTGCAAAAGTGTTACATAGAGTCATTTATTGAATAACAGTCTACATATTATACGTCCGTCTGTGCTCAGTACTTTTATATCTATATATACTTTTATATAGCGAGAAGGTTACGAGTGAATACTTTTGCGTTATTTGTACACAATCTGTTCGTCGCGACTTCGCCCGCGTGTAATTTAGGGTTTTAATTATGTTGCGCGGAACCCTAAATCTTTTTCTAAAATATAAGTAGCCTAAGTTACTTCTTATAACATCAGCTATCTGCCAGTGAAAGTCCCGTCGAAATCGGTCCAGCAGTTTCGGAGATTAGCCGGAACAAGCAGACAAAAATTTTAAAAATTGTGTTTTTGTTATAAGTACCGTATATACTTTCATATGCATTAAGTAAAAAGCTGTTATTTTGACATTACAAACAGACACTTCAATTTTATTTATTTGTATAGATTAGTGGTGTCGCAGATATTCATACGCAAATGGAAGCTTTCGACAAATATTCAAAGATTGTTGATGTGGTCTAAAATCAACTACGAGGACAGAATTTTTAACGATATAAATGATTATTAAATTTTTACAATATAAGTGATATTTTTACATTAGCATCAACGAAAGTCCATCAAGAAGTATATTGGTTTTATTCATCCATCATTCATTACAGCTTATCTAAGTAAAGTCCATTTTGTACATAGGCTTCCCCCACTTATTGCATCATAGGGGGCCTCAGTTTTCTTTTTATTATTTCGACTTGTTATCAGGAGAATGCTGCTGCACATCTCCTATTTAATTTTTCTCTGTCGCATTTTATCACACATCCATGTCATAAGAAAAATGTCGTGTGAAATGTGGTAGTGGATTCTCTTAAGCCGCGGCTACACGGCGAAGTTATTTAATTACCTGGGTTTAAATTCGAGCGGCGTGTCCTCAATGTCGTCCGCATCGAACTGCGGAGCGGGCGTTGTCCGTCTGCGTCGACGTTTGTGCTTTTTTGTGACACGCTGGAAATTAATATACCTGAAGTAATACAAACTTCCCACAGATAGGCACCGTCTCTTTTCTTTTTATGGAGCATCAAGACTTTGTCGCGCTGCCCAAATTTTTAATTCCCCAGTAAAATGCAGTGTGCCATGGGTAGTTGCCGCCCGGGGCCGCATGAGCCAAAATGTCGCCAATAATTTTCGCAATCCGATTCGATTTTATATTTTTAAATTTTGTATTTTAAAAATATAAAATCGGTATTTTATATTTTTAAAATACAATTTAATTAAATATAAAATCGGTAAATGCCTTCTATAGACTTCTTATATTATTTAAAAATAATAAAACAATACTTTTGTATTTATCCCTACCACCTTTGGCAAGGTCGTGTGGGCAGATTATCTCTATTTTCATAACTTCCAATGTTACAGTGTTTCCAATATTGGAACGAAGTTCCTTATCGGACGGTATGGGTTTGACGGATGGGAGCTAGTCGACAAAAAGTGTAAGATTTTTTCGTCACTACTCCTTGCGTCATAGTGTATTTTATTTTAAATGACGCTTCATTTTAATAGACGCTAGTAATACATTTATTTGTATTTGTTAATCAATAATAAGGAACTTCGTTCTAACCGAGTGTTCCACGACACTCACGCATGTTTTTTTTTAATTTTAATTTAATTTTATATAAAAGTACTAGCGAACCACCCCGGCTCCGCACGGATGATTTCTAGATCTCGACAACTGTGCCACCCACAGGATCCAACTACAGCTAGGAACCATCCAGGTGAACTCATAAAGTATCCCATAAAAGTTTCATCAAAATCGTTCAAGCCGTTTAGGAAGCGAAGAGTTACGAACACACGCACACCGGAATTTTACAGTTTAGTATAATATATAAAGACAGACGAAGTGCTGAGTACATTTCAATTCACACTTACGCACACACGTGCATCTAAAATAATTACTGACCAACAACTTGGTTTTAGGGACATATGTGTGTCCAGCAGGGTACTTTTACAGACTGTTTAAGATAGAAAGATGTTCACGTGAGTGAACCAAGAAATTGAGCATAGCATCGGTGTCATCATAATAAAAATTCAATTCAATTTAAATAATAGAGCAAATAATATAATATTATGATCTGTAGGATTAAAATAGAAGTCCAGACAAAATAACTGCAATTTAGCTAATCCTAAACTTACGAGTACGCTTGCCTCGACATCTGAAAGTTTCAGAAAAGCTGCACAGACCACTTTTTGCTTATCTCATAAATCTGAAAATCTGTCTGTACTTTTACCTGTGGTGGTTCAGTGCTGGCCGACAATGGTTTCACTTCCACAAACTCCTCGACGATGATCTTGTTCTGTGACGGTGGTTCCGCTATGGGATCATTTATGCCGTTGCCTTCCATGTTGACGGAGCCCATGGCATCCAAAGGTGGACTGTCCGCACCGAGTCTACCAGGTGTTAGTTTTTTCCCACCACGCCATGACTGTTTCGCAACCTGCTAAATGAATTGAAATATTTTTATTATCTTTATTTTTCTTCTTACTTTGTAGATTAAAATTATGTGCTTGTAGGTCTTAATCATAATTTGGTAATTTAAGAGATTTCCAATTTCAAAGTTAACATTGTTTTAAACTATTTTAACTGCCGATTTACGGCGTTATAAGAATATCCGCTACATATCATCCCGTGGCTGTCGTAAAAGGTGACAGAGTGAAATAAATCATGAGATGGGCAGCAGCAGTCTTCCTAATAACGGCTTAAAAATAAAAAAATCCGTTGCCAACCCGCTTGCCAAGCGGGGTAACTGTGGCAAATATCCCCCATATGAGGCAATCTATGCGGGAGGCCTATATTCAGCAGACTCAGACATTAATAGGTTGCAACGGTAACAGTATTTTAAAAGTAAAATAATTAAAAATTAAAAATTTTGTACAACCGACTTCAATATAAATTATTAAGAATAACTCAAAAACTGGTGGTCAGACCTTGATCAAATTCATATGGGACTACATGTGAAGCACTAGCTTTCAAATAAAAAAAGAATCACCGAAATCGGTTCACCCAGTAAAATGTTATGAGGTAACACACATATAAAATAAACATACAGTCGAATTCGGTACCGTCTTATTTTTGTAGTCGATAGAGAAGACCAGACTCTCACAGAATATCAGCGTAAAATAGTAGCTCAATGCTGCTGCGTTTTGTATGGTGAGTGTTGAGAACGGGAGACCCTTGTGGCTTCTACAGTCCATAGACACTGCAGCCAATTTAAAAAAAAAGGCTACAGATGCATTGTCACCTCTGAGGACTGAGATGGAGTACCTCACACAGCCTATAATTGTACTGATTTTCTATACCCTTCAGGCCGCAATAGAGCGATGGAAGCACTGTTTTTTGGCGGCAGAAACATGAAGGAGGTGGTATAGGTGGTACCTAAGCAGACGGATTTCTAAGCAATAATGAGTTCTACCACGTTTTTTACGTGGTAGAGCCATGCTGCAGCTATATTAGTAGTATAGTTGTAGCACGAATGGGTTGGCTCGACCGGGGAAAGACCACACTCTCACAGAATACCAGCGTAAAATAGCAGCTTAACACTGCTGTGTTTTGTATGATGAGTGTAGAGAACCGGAGACCCTTTTTACTGGAAACGACGCATTCCATCTTAGTCCTCACGGGTGACAACGCATCTGCATTTTGATTTGTAATCGAGGATAGATGTAGATGTCTATGAGCCGCAGCTACCACTTACCATCAAGTGGGCAGTGTGCTCGTTTGTCACCCTTATCCTATAAAAAATAGCAAAACATTTTTACTGGTAACAGGGCAATTTATCTTAGTCTTTAGAGCAGGGAAAGCGTCTGCATTTTGATTGTTACTCGAGGTTGTAGATGTGATGTGTGTCAGTCAGTAATTTATTCTTGGGGCAATGTATACGCTATTACAACAAATTCCCAGATAATATACAAGGTCTAAATTAAATATTTTATTAAACTAAATTTGTATAAAAAGGGTTATTGTAATATAAACATTAACAGTGGTAGAGCCACGCGGCAGCTTTAGCTGTCGCACGGATGGACCGGCTCGAACCGGGGTGGTACCACGACCTCACAGAAAACCAGCGTGAAGTAGAGGTTTACCTCTGCGTTTCGCTTGGTGAGTGCAGGTGGCCGGAGGCCCTTTTTACTGGAAATGAGGCATTCCATCTTAGTCCTCACGGGTGACAAGGCATCTACATTTTGATTTGTAATAGAGGATAGATGTAGATGTCTATGGGTCGCAGCAACCACTTACCATCAGGTGGACTGTATGCTCGTTTGTCACCCTTATCCTATAAAAAAAATATGGTTGATAATAACCCCTGGGAATTAGGGGGTCGCTTCCAAGCTGTTTCTAAAATAAATTTTGTAAATAGTTTGTACAACCTTTCGTATTGTAAAATTAACTTTAAAAAAAGTCCCCGCTGTTCTTCCCAGGACAGAGGTTTTTTTCCGAACCAGTGTTAAAGTAAAAAATTACTTTCAATAAGAACATACGTGTGATATCTATATTGAATAAAAATTATTATTATTTATTTTTATATGGACCAGCATCTAATTACCATCAGTGGGACTGTGTGCTAGTTTGTCACCTCTATTCTATAAAAAAAGCCGGTTCTCTTTATAACGAAAGCAAAGTTTGCGAAATCAATTGGTCTCGGGTTCGGTTGATTTAACAATTATCTAGCAATACGATAATAAACTGTAGTTATCAATTATACGTCTCGAAAAAAAAAACTGCTTTTCCGTACTTCACTATATTATTGCAGTGATCGTTTTTTATAGAAGTTCTTAACGTCAAATAAGTTATATACAAAGTTAATAAGTTATAGTTTGTATTAATACATCTAGTAATGATCGAAAATAAATTGGGCTGGCTAAAAAATAAAATATATTCAAATATTCTTGGAGTTATCATTATAGTTTGTATTAATGCAAATAGTTGGAAAATAAATTGGGCTAGCTAAAAAATAAAATATATTCAATTATTCTTGGAGTTATCATTATAGTTTGTATTAATGCAAATAGTTGGAAAATAAATTGGGCTGGCTAAAAAATAAAATATATTCAATTATTCTTGGAGTTATCATTATAGTTTGTATTAATGCAAATAGTTGGAAAATAAATTGGGCTGGCTAAAAAATAAAATATATTCAATTATTCTTGGAGTTATCATTATAGTTTGTATTAATGCAAATAGTTGGAAAATAAATTGGGCTGGCTAAAAAATAAAATATATTCAATTATTCTTGGAGTTATCATTATAGTTTGTATTAATGCAAATAGTTGGAAAATAAATTGGGCTGGCTAAAAAATAAAATATATTCAATTATTCTTGGAGTTATCATTATAGTTTGTATTAATGCAAATAGTTCGAAAATAAATTGGGCTGGCTAAAAAGTAAAATATATTCAATTATTCTTGGAGTTATCATTATAGTTTGTATTAATGCAAATAGTTCGAAAATAAATTGGGCTGGCTAAAAAGTAAAATATATTCAAATTTCTTGAGGTTATCATTATAGTCTGCATTAATATATATATATATATATATATATATATATATATATATATATATATATATATATATATATGTAGTAATGATCGAAAATAAATTTGAATCGGGCTCTCATCTCAGGGGTACCTCGTTTAGAGCCGGGGCGGCATCAGAGGCAGATGAACTGAGTAAGTGTCGTAAATATGAGTCTCTGAGAGATGACTACATATTTGTGCCATTTGCTGTAAAGACTATCGGTCCGTGGGGTACACGTGCGGTGAAGTCCTTAAAGGAACTCCATCCGCGGCTGGTCGTTGCTGCTGGTGATAAGAGTGCTGGTTATTTCCTCGCTCAAAGGCTAAGTATAGCCATTCAGAGGGGAAACGCAGCCAGCGTTCTTGGCACGATACCGCGGGCAGTAGGACTGTATGTATAATTAAATTACTAGTTTTAGTTTTTTTTTTATAATAGTTTTTAATATTGTATATTATATTATGTAAATAAATGTCTTTACAAATAAATTGGGCTGACTAAAAAAATAATATATTCAAATTTCTTGGAGTTATCATTATAGTTTGTATTCATATTTTTACATTGACTCTACTATATTTATTGCATAAATACACAATGTTGATAGTTTTAAGGATATTGGGACATGCATGTCATTTTACCTGCAATGGTGCGGCTAGTTTCGGTGGACTCTGCGGCGATATCATGGCCGGAACAATAGTTCTGGACGTTAATGTATCATCTGAAGATTCTTTAAGGTCCATCTTTTTCAAAACTTTCTCCACTTTCTGACTCTTGCCAAGGTCTGTCACCTTATTCCGCTCGAAGATTCGACCGTTGTTAATTACCTAGAAAAAAGGACATTTAATTTCGGTCTTATTTAAAATTTGCATTTAAGGCAAATTAACCACTGGTGTCTTATAGGACCTTCAGGAAAAATCTACTACAAAATTGTGTACATAACAAACGGGTAAAAACTACATTTTCAGAGTAAATTTATATTAATTATGAGGTTGCAAGGATAAACCCTAAACGTGTATTGGCGGTGTAAGAATATCCACTACCACATATGGTCACGTGGGTAACGTAAAAGGCGACACAGAGAAATCAACCAGGAGATGGGCAGCAGCGACTTAATAATATCAACTAAAAATAAGTGGTTGCCAACTCACTTGGGAGCATCTCTATGGAGCAATCTATGGGGGAGACCTATGTTCAGCAGTTGAATTTTGGTAAGCTGTAACAGTAAAATAAAGCCTAAAGGATAAGCCTGCGCTTCTACACCTCTGAATTCTTTTTATCTCACCTTAATGTTATTGTCATTGAGGATCGTCACGAGATCCCTCACGAAGGTATTATTCGGATATAATTTCTGATGTTTGCAGTGTATGTCGACCTCCAAGTGTTCTTCTGTGTTGTTTGTTGCAGATCGGACCAGTTTGAGGATGAACTTGTTCTTTGTTTGCTTCTTTTTACTTCGCTTCTTTGACTTCTTACCGCGGTGCTTCGACTTGCCGTGAGCTCTTCGCGAAGCCTTTGTTTCGTTATCAGGCTCATACGAGAGAAGCGAACGCGATATTCGGCTAAAGGCAAAACGAGATTTAAATAAAAATTACCACGTTTTTATTAAGTCACTTTTTTGTTTGTCTATCTGTGTGCCGTTCCGGGTGGAATTTTGTAACTCAAATTTTGAGCACTTCCTGATGAGCCAGAGATTTGAAATTTTTAACATAGGTCAGAATTCGATGACAATACAGGTATATGCAAATATTTTTTTAGTACAAATTTAAAAAATATTACTTGTTATATTTTAATTACTTTTCTAAGTATACGCATATACATACATAGCGTCACGTCTGTAAACCTCGAAGGGGTAGGCAGAGTCCAAAGAGCAGAGCAAAGAAGTGATAGGTGGTTAAGGGTTCGGTAATATCCCATTAGTCGCTTATATATATATAATACATGCATATTATAATTATATAATTCTAATGTCCGTGTGTATGTGACTGAACTCTTAAACGGCTGGACCAATTTTGATGTGATTTTGTTTGTGTGATTAAGTTGATTAGAAAATGGTTTCGGTCCACAATTGGACGTGGTAGGTGGCGTTGTTGTAGAGATCCAAAAGTCAACCGTGCGAAGCCGGGGCGGATCACTAATTTGTTATAATTCCCACAATAACAGGTCCCCCATACCTGTAAGACCGAGACCAAAATGGGGAGTTTTTTTTTCTGTGTCAACTCGTATAAGTCTACTGTTAGACACGGTGCTCTTCTATTGTGGAAAGGGTTTGTCAATACGTCATTATTAGCAGTACGATGAGCGGTTGGAGTACCTGAGGTTTTGCAACTTTCTCTCTTTTACGAGTATATGTAAAGGCCCTGAGATCTTTCTAAAATTTCCCATAGTCCAACTAGACTTTCTTTCTATAATTTTTAAATAATAGCAGCATTTAGTTTGGTTACACATTGTAACTATCCCATAGTTTTTCAGTAAAAGCTGATTACAGACCGGGTTTCGTAATGCACACTTAAGACGTCGTCATTTAAAAATTTTAAGCTACCAACCTCAAGATTTATAACACAATTAAGCATATACAAGCACACAGTCAAACTGAGAGTAAATGAATGCTGTAGCCCCCATGATCTATATATGATACTTTTAAGCTTAATAAACAGAATAGATCTGTTGTAATATGTGGAAACTTTAATATCAATCTCCTAGAAGCTTCCTCCACCAATATTAAATTTAGATCATTATTGCATGCCGAGCGCAAAGCGCATAGGTATGTTCTACTAGCGCCTAAAAATCAAGATTCCAAAGTTTTGTCGCATGAAATCGTATCCAGCAATCATATTATACATATAAATGATATAAAAAGCACATTGTCAGAAAGATAAATGATTATTGAACTTATTAATATTTATTTAAATCGATTAATTGCTATTTTTACATAAAAAGGGGTTTTAGTGGCTTATGGTGTGGATTTATTAAGTCCTCAAAGCTTGTAAACACTCTAACTTTTGAAAATATCAATTGTTTAACTCAATCTATTTTTTAATCTCTTCATCTATCATGTGGGAAGCCACTGAATGTAAATGGCAGTGTAATTTTGTTTTGTTTAGCTATAATTAATTTTTTTCGGCTCCAAAATGGCGAAATTTTCGGTGATTTCGCAGCCTTGTGTTAGAATTTATTTCAGTAAACAGAGACTGCCTGTGGGCCTGTGGCTCGCTCACTCGCTCGCTTAGTTCGGCGTTAATCGCCGTCATATACAGTAATCTATGATCGCCGTTGAGAGTGGATATTGTATTGGTTGTTTGCAGCGGCTCAAAAAGATCGCTGTACAAATAAATAGAAAATATTCGAAAAACAAATTTCATACATACTTGATTATTATAATAATCAGAGATTTTTATTACAATATATTAAAAGCACAGAATAAATAATAGTAGTACGTACTAAAAGTAAGTAGGATGTAATATTTATCCTTGAATACGTCTTGGACTTTTTGGAGTGACATGAATGATGATATGATGATCATATGAGCATTATGAGTCGTGCACTTTTGGATTTTCCAAACTTTTTCAAATTGAAGTTTGACATAAAATTATCGGAAAATTGGAAGTATAATAAGGTTATTAGTGAAAATTTGTGTGTATTTAAACTAGTTACTTTAAAAAAAATCCGTATAATCATGCTATACGTAATTTTTTTAATGCGAAGGCATGCTCAATTGGTTTTACCAATAGTTTTTATTTAAATCATGTAGTCTTTTTAATTTATTTTTAGAGCCAATGCGTATTACTGAATGTAGTGTTTCATGAACGTATAACATTTTTACACATGTTAAGCATAAATGTATAATTCAAAAATTGAGCTCTGATTACTGTGAACAATTAGTTTCGTTACCTTATGTTCACAAAAATCAAGTTGTTGAGAAAGTTGTGTTTATTCCAGTAAATGCACGTCGCTCGGAGAAGTTTAGAAGTAACATAGTGAAGAAACTTCCATCACTTTCATACCAAAATGATCCAAAGTTTTTGTATGGAATATTGTTTAAGCTTATTTTCAATGAATTTGATAATATTTTTACTTCTAAAACGTTCTCCTTGAACAGTCGAAAGGGATTCTATGAATGGGCGACAGTAGGAGTCCATAGGAGCAGACAAAGATTATATGAACTTTACCGTGAAAGGTCATAACCTCAACCCTAGCGTCGATTTTAGGGAATATGTAGAAAAATATTCAAAAATATTTAAGAGTCTGGTCCACAGCCAAGCTGTCTTAATTTTGTTGCTCAAATGCAAAGAATTTGGGCAACAAAATTAAGACAGCTTTGAATAAAATTAAAATGACGTGGAGTATAATTCATAGTGAAACTGGTAAGGCCAACTTTCGCAATTCAAACTACCAGTTAAGTTTTAAAAACAAATTAACTGAATCAGATCAGGATGTTGCAATAGTTTTTGAGAAATATTTTACTGATATTCCGATATTAACCGCTAAGTCACTGAATTCTTCTCCTGCCGTCGCCGAATCATTACTTAAACAAAATGTAAATGCGTGTACAAATAATTTTACATTTCATAAAATATCATCAAATTTTTTTTAAAACTATTGATATTAAGAAAACTGCAGATCTGTGGGGGATTTCCGTTGAAGTTATTGCGTCTATAGAAGATATAATCACGCCTCATCCAGCTATTATTGTTAATACTAGTATCGAATATGGTATGTTTTCTGATTTAATTAAGCATAGTAAAGTAACACCTTTCTTCAAATCTGGTAGTATATTAGACCCCGCCAATTTTAGACCTATTTTTACACTGCCAACACTTAGTAAGATTTTTGAAAACATTATTTTTGATCAAATGTTAATTTTTTTAAATGTAAATAGTTTACTTCATAAAAATCTATTCGGTTTCACAAGGGGTCACTCGACAACTGATGCTGGTGTTGAGCTGATTAGAATAGAATAGAAACATTTTTATTCATAGTCATCATTCATCATCATTACAGCCCTTCACAAGTCCACTGCTGAACATAGGCCTCCCCCAAAGAATGCCACAAAGCACGGTCCTGAGCCACCTGCATCCATCGACTACCTGCATGTCTTACCAGGTCGTCACTCCATCTCGTGGGGGGACGCCCTACACTTCGCCTACCGGTACGAGGCTGCCACTCGAGAACCTTTCTTCCCCATCGGTTGTCGGTTCTTCGAGCTATATGGCCGGCCCACTGCCACTTCAGCTTACTAATTCGTTGGGCTATGTCGGTTATTCTGGTTCTACTGCGGATATCCTCATTCCTAAGTTTATCACGCAGAGAAACTCCGAGCATAGCCCTCTCCATAGCTCGCTGAGCGACCTTGAGCTTCCTCATACGGCCAGCAGTGAAGGACCACGTCTCAGTTCCGTAAGTCATCACTGGCAACACGCACTGGTTGTACAATTTCGTTTTAAGGTTTTGAGGTATGTCTGACGAGAAGATGTGTCGTAGCTTCCCGAACGCTGCCCAGCCGAGTTGAATCCGTCGATTGACCTCTCGGTCGAAGTTGGACTTACCTAGTCGGACTATTTGTCCCAGGTAAACATACTCGTCAACAACTTCGAGCTTAGTGCTCCCAACAACTACCGGCATAGGTGTGACATGGACATTAAACATAATCTTTGTTTTGTCCATGTTCATCTTAAGACCTATCCGTTGGGAAACACTATTGAGGTCATTGAGCATAGTGCTTAGGCCCTCCAGCGATTCTGCCATAAGGACTATATCGTCGGCAAATCGAAGGTGAGTGATGTACTCGCCATTGATGTTGATACCGTACCCTTTCCAGTCCAGAAGCTTGAAAACGTCTTCCAATGCAGCGGTGAAGAGTTTCGGGGATATGACGTCACCCTGTCTTACACCTCTCTGCAATTGGATAGGTTTCGTACTCTGGTTCTGTACTCGGATAGCCATCGTAGCCCTACTGTACAAGCACTTCAACACTTCGATATACCGACAGTCAACTTGGCACCGCTGAAGGGACTGCAGCACCGCCCAAATTTCGACGGAATCAAAGGCTTTCTCATAGTCCACATACGCCAGACATAGTGGCAAATTGTACTCTTCGGACTTCTGTACAACTTGCCGAAGGGTATGTATATGGTCTATGGTGCTAAAGCCCTTTCGGAAACCGGCTTGTTCGGGAGGCTGGAAGTCGTCAAGTCTGCGCGCGAGACGATTCGTAATGACTCTCGAAAACAGCACGTAGACGCGGCTCAGAAGGGAAATCGGTCTGTAGTTCTTCAAGAGAGCGTTGTCACCTTTCTTGAAGAACAAGACCACCGCACTTCTGCTCCACGCCTCCGGTGTAATGCCACCATGGAGGACGGAATTAAAGAGCTTCTGAAGGACTTCAAGTACCGGTCTTCCACCCGCTTTCAGAAGCTCCGCTGTAATTCCATCCTCGCCTGGGGCCTTACCGTTTTTAAGGTGCTGGAGAGCCATTCTAATCTCGCTCAGACTGACGTCCGGGATATCTTCGGAATAGTGTCGGATGAGACTCGCTCTTGGATCGTTACTCACACTTGCGTGTGGCTCCAACGATGACGTGTACAGCTGCCCATAGAACCTCTCAATCTCACTCAAAATCTCAGGTGTCCCGGAAACGATGCTGCCACATTCTGTCTTCAGCTTTGACAGTTGGCTCTTTCTGGCAGACAGATCTCTGGCAAAGACTTTGGAGCCTTGGTTCCGCTCGATCGCTTCTTCAATATGAGCTGTATTGAAGTTGCGTAAGTCCCGCCGCATGCATTTGGAGATCTGTCTGTTCAGATGCCTGTATGCTGTCAAGTCTGTTGAAGAATGTAGCTTCATCTCCCGTCTAACAGCCATGAGATTAAGAGTGTGATCGGAGAGTTTTTGTGTTCTTCTGCGGCGGGTCTTGCAGAACTTAGCTCCGACCGCATAGACAGTTTCCACGAGCTTGTCATTCATATCGTCCACTTCATTGCAGTCTTCTAGGCACTGAAAACGGTTTTGTAACTCGAGCTGAAAGGTTTCGGGACTTTGGATTAGAGCACGAGGGGGACGGAGCGTTGACTTCATTAGACGAGACCTCTCCAACTTAACGTTTAGGTTCAGTGTGCCTCTAACCATTCGGTGATCGCTACCAGTTTTCACCCTTGCGATCACGGAGACATCACTGAACAGTTGTCGTCTTGTCGTCATAATGAAGTCAATCTCATTTTTTGTCGAACCGTCGGGGCTCGACCAGGTCCACTTCCTGTGGGGCCGCTTCTGGAAGAAAGAGTTCATCATAAAGAGTCCCTCTTTCTCCATGAAGTCGGCCAGCTGCTGGCCCCTTGGGTTCCGTTGCCCTATTCCAAATTTCCCTACTTTCAGCTCACCGTTCTCTCTTGTGCCTAGTTTTGCATTGAAGTCTCCCATTAACACCGTATATTGGGTTTTGGAGGAATGCATGGCTCTAGAGATATCCTCATACATTTCCTCCACCTCCTGATCGGGGTGTGCCGAGGTTGGTGCGTAAACCTGTATGACCTTCAGCGAATACCGTTTGGTGATTCTGAGTATAAGGTACGCAACCCTCGTCGACACACTCCCGATCTTTACAACGTTGTTAACGAGAGACTTGTGGACGATAAATCCGACACCTCCTTGGGACAGATGGTCGCCCTCCCGGTGATAGAGCAAGTTGCCGGATTCGAGGATTACCGTGTCCTCCCCCTCTCTTCGGACTTCGGATAATCCTATAATATGCCAGCGCAACTTGTCTATCTCTTCTTCCAGCTCCACGATCTTCTCGTCAGTCCTCAGGGTGCGTGCGTTGTACGTTGCCAGGTCGAGTCGTCTAAGGTGGCAACCGAACCTCCACCGGAGATTCTTAGCACCCCCTGCCCCGCCGTTACCATGGTCGCCACCGTAGCCAGGAATAGCGGGGCCGCCGGGGACTGGGGGCCGTCTGTTTGTTGCTTTAGTCATTGGGGGGTATTTGCCATAGTTGCCACGCTTGGCGAGCGGGTTGGCAACCGCAGTTTTTTTATTATAATTTTTGGCTATTATCAGGAAGATGCTGCTGCCCATCTTCTGCCTGTTTCCCTTTGTCGCCTTTTACGACACCCACGGGAGGATATGGGGTAGTGGATATTCTTGACCGCCACTACACGGCATTATATTCATAGTACATACTACTTATTGAGTCATTTTTTACTGGTTCGAAAAAATACCTCTGTCCTGGGAAGAACCAGCAAGAAACCCAGCGGGACTTTTTTTTTAAAAAGCACAATTTACAACAAAATATTTTACACAATTGTTATGAAACCATTTAGAAACAGCACGGTAGCGATCATATAAGTATTATTTATAATCTACATTGAATAAAAAAGTTTCCGTTTCTGTTTCTGTTCCATAGACCCCTCTACATGTATTCACGATAAAGAAAGAAAATAAATGCGGACACATTGTCTCCTTAGACTTTATGGGGATACCGCGTCACTTATGAAAAGTTCGTAGATCTTCGGTTCTCATCATTGACCATACGAAACACAGCAGCGTTATGTCTGTTTATCTATTGTGAGTGCATGGTCCTTCCCCGGTCGAGACGAACCATTTATTTTTTAGTGTGCAGCCTGCATTAAAATAAGGTTTACAAAAGGCGGTTTTAATTTCTTTAGGCGTTCTCTCCCAGTCAAGCCTGGACGCAGTGATATGTGATAGATGCATAAGGTTGAAAATAATATTAACTATATATTTAATATATAAATGGAAGTATAACTAAGTAAACAATCTCATCACAACCTTAATGTAATGCAACGTGATTATATGGTGTAAAAATAATTTAATCTTTGTAAATAATTTCTTACCGTTGTCCTCTTAACCGTTGTAGCCTCAGTTCCTGCTCGCTAGGTACCACTTCATCTGAAACAAATTTTATTATAATTATTACATACAACCACTTTTTTCAAGGTTGTAAAAATCCACCGCAAAACTTGGGCCTTTCACTTAAATAATGAATATTGCCTGATTCAGATGCTTATTAAAATAATTTGTATTATTATGTAATTTCATTAGCAAGTCCATTTCCATAGAGTAAGTTTTAATGTAGATGAAAGCATTAGTGATGAGAATAGTTCTATTTTGACTGACTCGTAGCGCGGAAGTGGTTGTCCTCGCTGTAGTCGATGTGCCAGCGCTGCGCGGCCGCCTGGCGCCGACAGCGGCGCGCCGACACGTCGGCGCCGGGCGCCGCGCCCGCTTCCAGGCACAGCTGCGACTCCACGTGTTGCAGCTGCTTGCTGCTAAGGTAGCGCCATTTCTGCGTTTTATCAAAAATACATTCATATTTTGACACTTGTACACAAAATACAATAATATTCTACGTGGTAGAGACATGCTGCAGCTATATTAATAGTATAGTTGTAGCACGAATGGGTCGGCTCGACCCGAGAAGGACCCACGCTCTCACAGAATACCAGCTTAAAATAACAGCTTAATGCTGCTGTGTTTCGTATGGTGAGTGTAGAGAACCGGAGACATATTTTACTGGAACAGAGGCATTCTATCTTAATCCGTATCAGACAGTGTATCTGCATTTTAATTCGCAGGCGAGGAGTAATATAAATAATATATATGAGCCGCAGCAACTACTTACCATCAAATGGACTGTATACTCGTTTTTCACCCTTATTCTATAAAAAAAAAATTAAAAAACTTGTCACTCACTACATACGTATATGTACAGAGAATGCAGTCACAAAGTCAAAAATATTTCAATCCATTTTGGCTTATATAAAAATCTTATCGACCGTCAAAATTTACCACCACAGCGAAAAGTGAAACCTCTAGAGAAAAAAACCTGCAAGATAAACTGGGGTCTGCCCTTAGATATCCAAAAGGCGAATAATTTCTTTTTTTATTAATAATATATGTTACGCGTAATGCACGAAGAACTGTTAAACCTAGGCTTACCCGGTGCTTTCTGGGAAAATTGGAATTGTTTATAAATATATAGTTTAACTTATTTCATAATGAAAGTTGGACTTATGAATGATAATGAATGAAAAGTTAAATATATAAATGACTTATACTACTTATACTGACTAATTTAAAATAAAGGCTGGTGATAAATCTTGTAAGCATGAGCAGAAATACAAAAGCTTTTACCTGACCACGGTCTTTTTCATGGCACGTTACCATAAGCACTTGTCTGCCTTCACCTTCGGCATCTTCATCTGGATTTCGCCTACATAATAGAGCAAATACCATAAATTCTATAATATTCCAACCCTTTTTGGTCATATTAACGGGGAATACGATCAAGGTACCAACTGATAGTACTTTAAACAAAAAAAGTTATTTCTGAATACTACTACACTTATTCGACTTTTTGTAAAAAAAAAAGTTAGCAATGACATTCGACAGAATACCATAAACTACGTCACCTGTTAGGCTGGTGTGATTCAAATCGCGCTTATTCCTGTAGTAAATAGCCTCTGAAGTTAAAATTTTGAGGCAAATCATGACATTTCCATGTTTAAAAATATTAATAAACAAAGTCGGAACAAAACATGATACATTTCATACATTTCTGGTAGGCAGATTGAAAGTTGGTACAAAATAGGATATTTCCTTGTATAAATAACTTATCGACTTTTGAACGCTTTATTTGCTTAAATGTTAGGGTGCTGAAGGCGTATAAAAGTACATTATGTGTCTATGGTTACGGTGTATGGTTGATATATGTCACATGAGTACAGATTTAAGTCAATGTCAACATATTGACATGAGATTTCCAAACAGTTTGGTACAAATCATATTTTCTTCAGATCTGATCAGAACATGATATTTCCATTCTTTACATAAGAATAGATAAACAATTTGAAATAAAAATAATAATAAAAAACATACTTAATAAGCTTTTACAGTTATTTATTCATTAGAACCCATTTTTTTTTAATTGCACAAAGGCAAAGTAGTTGTCGGTTTTTGACCTTTTGTGAAAAATTAGACATCATGGAATTATCATGTTTTGTTCTGTCACTCCTCAAATATGTTATACCTCAAAGCCAGTAATTATAACAAAAAATTAATCAACAGACAAAATAACACCCACATTGTTTTTCAGTCTGTTGGTTAATTTATTGATATACTATTTTAGAAGTACTATAATATGATTCCTACCACCTAATTGTGGGTTCTTAGCTGTTTAGCAGTAGAGCCCTGTCCAGATTTCTAGGCAGAATAAGATTCCCAGACGTTTTAAACGCAGTAGAGGCCTTCTGCAGCTAGATTATGGTCGCAGCACGGATGTGTTGATTCGTTCAGGGAATTACCATGCTCGCAGAGTATACCAACGTATAATAGCAGCTTGACACTGCTGTGTTTTAGTACGATGAGTCTCTTTTCTGCCGACTTCCAAAAAGGAGACGGTACTCAATTCGACGCGTATGTTCTTTTTTTATGTGTGTTACCTCATAACTTTTTACTGGGTGAACCGATTTCGATGATTCTTTTTTTATATGAAAGCTGATACTTCTCGTATGGTCCCATATAAATTAATTTATTGTTTTTAAAATTAATTTGATCAAGGTCAGACCAATAGTTTTTGAGTTATTTGAGTTATTCTTAATAACTTATATTGAAGTCTGCTGTACAAAATTTTAAATTTTAAATTATGTTATTACGTTACGTCTCGTTTATGTCACGTTACCAGTAAAAAGAGTTTCCGGACACTTACATTTATTTCTATCATAGTTTTCACGTGTGACAACGAATTATTTTGGTTTAGTTGAGAATAGATGTAGGTAGGTAACCATCTACATCCTACCACTGCATCCACTTACCATCAGGTTGGACTGTGTGAGAACAGAATATTTCTTATTCAATATAAATTACTACAGAATAGTCATTGAAAGTAAATTAAAAGTTAATTGCTGTAATAACGGATATAACGCGATCTCCTCTACCTGGAATACCGCAACTCTGCGCATTTTTCTTCATCACGCAGTTCGCCGGAGAGAGACAGAGATAGGTACTGTGTGGCCTGCAACGTATCGTGGCAGGGGTATACGCCCAATGGAGACGCCTCGCCTTCTCTCTGCAGTGTGTCCAAGCAGAGACCGCTAGACGGGTTCGTAAATCTAAAGGAAAAATAAAGAAATATTCGTAGGGCACTTTTTCTGTCGAACTGTAAGAAGGCACCACCTTCCATTAGGCGTGTAGGTTTACTAGTTTTACTTAAAAAATATATATTTCTTGTTTGTCTCATACACGTTCCTAAATCATTTATACGATTATGAGAAAACTTTGATGAGTTGTTGTGAGCTCGTTCGCAAAGGTTGAGACAAAAAAGAGGCTACTTAGGTATAAAACAGGGATCAGGGTAACACAAAACGCTATGAAATAACACTAGTAACACTATTAAACTACTATTGAAGAGCGTCGTTTCAAATGGCGACTTATCCAACAAACACAATTCTGAGTAATTAAGCAAAAACCTGTATTAAAAACAGTTTTCATAAAAATCAATTATACCGATTTTAGCATAACTACTACTAATATTCTGAAAGAAAATTCATTAAAACATAAATATTATGTATATTTAGTAATAATGGTAGAAAATAATGAAACATTAATGGACATCTTGCATTTTGATCCAAAATCTTGGACAAGTTTCACTTTGAAGCAGGCTTCACTTAGAAATCCAAATTATATTAATGTTGCTACTTATAAAAAAGTATTGGAAATTAAACACAGGATTTGGGTAAATCAGACATTTATTTTATATACCCTATTACATATTACGCTACGCTAAAGATGTTCTGTCTGAAAGAAAACACGCGCCGCGTGCGTCAAAAGAGAATGACATTTGACATAATTCCATAGATAAATAAATATATAGCATAATTCATAGAGAAAAGTAGCGTTCTGAAACAAAATATTTTTTGGTTGCATTTTGATACAACACAGTTGCTGTCTTACTTTCGTTTTGAAACAAACCACATTTTTGAGATGCTTTTTTATATGTGTTAATAGCATTTTGAAGCAAATCGAGTTTCGTTGTAGTAAAGTAGTATATTTAAGGGGTACGAATCCGTAGCATATAGAAAATTGTCCGAGATGTGACAACTTGCGTTTTGAAACGACGCTCTTCTATTACTCCCGTTAACCACTAAATGTCGGATTCGAACTAAAGACTTTCCGAGTTTGCATTTCGCACCCATAATCATTTAGGGTTTACTGCCGCTTTAAATAGTACATAACAGTGTAATTTGAACAATGGTATACCCTACTACTAAAAAACTGCAGTTGCTAACCCACCTGTCAAGCGTGGCAACTATGCCAAATACCCCCTATATGTGGCAATCTATGGGGGAAGCCTACGTTCAGCAGTGGATCTAATGAATAACAAACTACTCTACTGCAGTACTCACCGTCCGAAGCCGTACACGTCGCGCACGGGCACAAACTTTTCCTTGTACACGTGGTCCAAGTACCACTGGAAGCTCTTGCACTGGAGTTTCTCGCGCAAGATGCGACGGTGTGTCACGTCGCCGATCTTGGGGTTATTCTGTTAAATGAAAAATAATCTAGGAGTTTTGGCGGGAACTTGACCGCCGGCGGATTGCTGCTTCTGTATTATTGTTAAAAATAATAGTTTGAAGTGGATTTTGATATGCAGGTGGTGCGATTTTGTGTATTATATTTTTGTAAATTAGTGGAAACGATGACACAAGTGCTCCGATGGTGATGTGAACCTCAAGATAATATGGCTGCTTAAGCGACTTGAGATACTACCGCCATTAACTGTCTGGCTCAAACTGTCGTCAATCTCCCAAAAACTTCGCAATGTGACGAATCGAGATATTGTGAAGAAATGTACTTATAAAGGATAATTTATTTTTACTTGATACTGGCAATAGTACAATCGTAGTCCATTACCAAAGAAACAAAAATAATCTGAAGGAGCTCTAAGTACAAGTAAGGTACAGATATCAATAATTAACCAAAACAGTTTAATTACCGATTGGGTTGTGTTGGTTATATAAAGCTTTAAGATAAATGAGCCAACTTTTGATCACTTTACGGTACATACTGCAAATCATCGAACGAAGCTCTGACGACCAACATAATATCTTACTTGCCGTATAAGGAAGTTCTATGTCACTCGGCGTTTATCTGGACGATAAACTAAGAAATGATGATATCCGCCTGTCTATTAATCGACATATACCAACGGATCAAGCTGAAGTGGCAATGGGCCGAAGAACTGACAACCGATGGGGTAGAAAGATACTCATGTAATAGTCTCGTATCGGTAAGTGAATTGTAGGACGACCCCTCACTGGAAGAAGTGACGACCTGGTAAGACATGCAGGAAATTGATGGATATAGGTGGCTTAGGGCGGTGCTCGTAGCATTCCTTGGGCTATGTTCAGTAGTGAACTTGCAAAAGGCTGTATGATGATGATGATTGCTCCATCCATTAACCAATGAACTCTTTACAAAAATAATTAAAAAAAATGTACATTATATACATACACGTAAGTCCGGTCGATGTAAATAGAAGAGCTCGGCATAATCGTCCATCCACACCTCTGCCATTCGTGCCGTGTTAATTCCTGTCAAAAAGAAAACCATCAAACTAATTAAGACAAAACTTCCATACGATGGGAAAAGTCCACATCCAATAGGGGTGTTTACATAATATAGCCGGATTTACAAACGCCATGTATCAAAAATTTTATAACATGCAGAAGAAAAACGGTAAAAAAAATTGAAGCCGACCACACGGCGAATTTCTTACTCCATATTATCCAGTGGGTGTTATAGTATGCGGCAGAGGAAATTAAAAACATTAGATCTGTGGTTTCCAACACGTCTGTCTGTCTGTGGCAACTATGGCAAATAACCTCACAATGAGACAAACCTAAGGGGGAGGCCTATGATTACTAGTGGACTTTTAATAAGCTGTATTGAATGAATGGATCAATTACGAAGAAAATATTTTTATTTACCTCGGTAGTTCGATACTAACCGTGCGTGTCCGTGTGCGCCGGCAGTCCGTACGGGTGGAAACTTCGGAACACGTGACCAACACGAGAGCACGGTATGGTTTCCAGTGTTCCTCCGCCTGAAACAAACGATGGTACTCTGATGATGCCGTGAGGCGAAACCGGTCGGTTTTTACTGTTAGTATTGTTGTACATGTGTTTAGCCAAATCACAAAAATGAAGCTGGAGTTTCGCTAAGTGACAATAATTTCAAGTATAAATTATAAACCAACGGCATTGCTGTTTCATATTGATTGGTGTCATTTAATTATTAAAGGCGCAAGTATTTTGTTTTATAAATGATTTGTCCGTTTCAAGTGCTTGACCGGACCCTTTGATACATGTAGACGATAAACAAGAGAGTTGAACTGAAGAACCAGTAATACGTCTAGTTAGTGGGACTCCTTGTTTGCCTGTCGCTAAGCAGCTGTGCTAAGATTCGGTTTCGAGGGTTAGAGTCAGTTTAATTACAGGCTATGAGACATCTTCCATGTTAGTTCTCAAGAGTGACAACGCATTTGTATCCTCCTTAGTTTGAATTTGGTTTCAACTGTCCGTTGGTTGCAACAGGAGGTCCATACATTTTTAATAATAATAATAATAAAAACAACATACATTGCCATATACGGAAGGACATTTCAAGATTCTCCCCTCCCCAGCCCGCCATCTGTTCGTCGTAGGCGCCAAGCTCCCAGTAATACGCCCGGTTCATTGCGAATAGTCCACCAGCCATTGTTGGAGACCTATGGTTATTGTAGTTATGATGATAAATAAATTTAATTTTTAATATATTTAAAAAAATAATGGAAGGCTATGATGACTAAATAGTATATTTCATTACGAGTGCGGAAAGCCTGTCATTGCAAAAAGTTCCGACAAATGTCTACCCGAGCCGAGGCGCAGCCGAAGGTGAGGGTTGACAGTCGGAACAAGTTGCAATGACGGTTCCGCACGTGTACTGAACAACTATTTTTAATAGTTGCGAAACAATGAAGTAATTTAATAAAGAACATTTTTGGAAAATGGCGCCAACCGTAAAAGAATATAAGCAGAGATTTTTTTTGTTTTTTCACCCATTCTGGGTAGGCAAAGGGAACTATGCCCATACAGCCAAGTCTTCAGTAGAATTATTTTATTGATATAAAATGAAAATTAAATTTAATGAGATGAAATGAAATGAAACCTAACCTAAATCATTGATTCAAATCATTAAATCTGATATTAAAACAAATTAGTAGCTTCTTTTTAGAAATATTTGCATGAATCATAAGAATTTCTATGATTTTTTTTTAGTAAAGACTTCGTGGTTGGTTTTTTCTTTTTAATAGACATTATTTTGACAGTTGGGAAAGAGAACGCACGAGTTCGGAAAAGGTAAAGAAAAAGCACGAGTATGTAATAGCCCACATCCCGAACGCTATACGTACCTGCAATACGCCACTTTTTGAGCAATTGTATTAAATATATATTCATTATTTACGAATAATAATAATCAATTGATGCATTCAGATTCGAATTCAGGTTATCTCCTTTTTTGCTGCGCCTCAAGGACAAGCTTAAAACTTCATTGTTTTACAGGATACAGTTTCGAGGGTGTACAAAATAATTACGTGATTTGATTCGCCCATTCACTTGCCATGATTAAACATCGCGCTTTCCTTTCGTTGCGGTTATATCTAACATTCATATGAAGCGGTTGGCTACGCCATAAATGGGTACAGCAATATTAGAGAAAATTGTCGAATTCCGTCTGAGTAAAAGAATACAATGTCTTGAAGAGTGAAACAATACGACACCAGACCTTCAGTTGTGCAGAAGCCAAGTATTTAGTTACGGTGATATATGTTCGATTTTCGCACGGAACTACTATTTTTATAGGAAATATTCTTATAGGATTAGTTTTGAACAACTTGTAACAACTTTGTAATTTATGAAAGTGAAATAAAGAGTTAAAATCTGATATTTTTCCAATAGTGTTTGACAAAGCTATCTCTCTCTAACCCGCATGTCAAACGATAATGACCAATTCTACCAAATTCAGAAGCTTATATGCAGCAGTGGACCTGAATGATGATGGTATTATTTATCTCGAATATGAAAAACCAGAATATACATAAGAAGTCATCATCATCATCTTTACAAGTCCACTGCAGAACCTAGGCCTCCCCAAGGAAGACCACAAAGCAGATCCTGAGCCACCTGCATCCATTGACTTCCTGCCTGTCTTACCAGGTCACTCAATTTATAAAAAGTCAATTAACAATTATTTTTATTTTAGACAATACTTACCACGTGGGTGCAATGTCAGACCCTCGTCGTTTTTTCTCTCTTTCCGGCACCTCTATCCAGGTGAAGTGCCCCATAAATGTAAATCCTCCCACCTGTATATCAGTTATAATAATTATTACATGCCTTACTTTAATTCCAAAAAAGCAGCTCAATTGTGCTGAGAACTAAAATTTAATGCAATGCTGATTAGCGGCATAAAAAGTTCAAAAGATGACCAACCCTGACCATCTCCTAGGCAGAAAGCACATATATGTATGTGCATCATTACAGCCCTTCACAAGTCCACTGCTGAACATAGGTTTCCCCCAAGGAACGCCACAAAGCACGGTCCTGAGCCACCTGTATCCATCGATGCATGTCTTTTCAGGTTGTCACTCCATCTAGTGGAGGGCAGCCCTACACTTCGCCTACCGGTACGAGGCTGCCACTCCTTTCTTTCCCGTCGGTTGTCGGTTCTTCGAGTAATATGGCCAGCCCATTGCCACTTCAGCTTACTTATCAGTTAGGCTATGTCGGTTACTCTGGTTCTATTGTGGATATGTTCATTTCTAAGTTTATCTCGCTGAGAAACCGCGAGCATGGTTGGAGGGTTGAATCAACTCAAAAATAAATAATAAAGCTTAGAAGCCATTATTTGGGTCACACATTAAAAATCCCACATTTGAAATATAAAAATTATCTTTACAAATCAATAATTTAAGAAATAAGTGCGTTGAAGTAGCAAACCAAAAGCATAGTTGCAAAGTAAAAGATATAAACAAAAATGTGTTATTAGCTATGATCAACTACGAATATGAAGCCATATTACTACAGCAGGTGATAGTTAAACTAGTGAGTAAATAAAAATAGATAATAATATGATCTATTTAGATAACTCGCATGAGAGTCAAACCTACTATTTTAAATGAAATGATACGATGTTCACAATCAATTTAACAGACCTTTATGTTTAGCGGTTTATTTTCATAAATTAAGCGATTAATCGATGTCAGGATCAACATTTTAAAATTTCCAACATTTTTAATCCTTTAAACTAACCTAATCAGGTCGATTATTACTCTCTATTAGTTCTTTTGTGTAAACTTTATTATCCTAATTTTTTATATTATCCCATTCAGATACCCAACGTTAAAATAGCCTACAAGGTGGTAAAATACATTTCTGTAGTATGTACTTATGTTACATGAGTTTGTAGGTACGTGCAGGGTGGAGAATTTACTATAACGATTAGTGTTTCCAAAAATGACAACATCATTGTTGAATTCGTCCAATTGCGTCAGCGGTTGCCAATTAAAGCTTTCGAATGGCAATTGTAACAAACCCAAAGTTTGGTGGTCTATTAATCTATAATCATCAGAAATTTTTTTTGTTTCTCAGTTTAGTATAGTCCGACAATTATGATGTAATGCATAGATATAAAGAGAATAAACGCAAACACAATAACGTATTGAGACCGCTAAATACAATAGTCATTCATTTGGCAAGTAGTATTCGTAAAAAAAATTATATGAAAAGAACTATAACAATAATTTAAAAAACGTGCCAAGTGCGAGTCGGACTCGCGAATGAAGGGTTCCATCACACGCGTAGGTGTAGTAGGGTGAGCCCACGGAGCAAATACAAAACTTTGTATTTGCTCCGTGGGTGAGCCACTTTTAATTTTTCATTTATTCTTATTATTATTATTATTGTTATAACGGCAACAGAAATACACATTCTGTGAAAATTTCAACTGTCTATCTATTACGGATCATGAGATTTAGCCCGCAACGGACAGACGGACGGACAGCGAAGGCCAAAGGGTAACCAACAGGACCATATTACTATGGTCCTGTTGGTTACCCTTTGGGTACAGAACCCTAAAAAAGTACGATTGCTTTTGTACTCTTGTATAGATTATATTATTTATTTCTTAGTAGGTACATTATTTTAGCATGTTTTATTTAATGTATTATTGTGATTGGAAATAAACGATTATTATTATATTATATTATATTTTTAACATGTTTTTTTTTCTCAGAAATATAACTAGATAACTAATTTTAAAGCATGCAACAAACATCATTTCCTCCTTCTCTCCCTCGTTCCAAAAGTAATACCAGTTCTATTTTGGTTGTTAGTTTCAAATAACAATATTACTCAATACGACTGACATTTTCAACATTAAACATGTGAATAAAAAAATATTTATAAACAAATGTACGACTTTATCCAAATGTATATACACTACATACCTGATATGCTATCACGAGAGCTGTTCTCGTTTGTCCTTGAATTACAGTAAACAGTTCCAACTAACCCCTAAACTTCAAACAACATTAAAAAACTGCTTTGATTTTTTCTGGCCCCACAGGCAATCTACCGATTGATCGCAAATATTTTTTTTTTGGATCTTAACTTATTTAAGAGGGTTGCAAATGTCTTGTTGACACCGCTTTTATAAATAACTACAAAAAAAACTTTAAAATAAGATACAAACATATTTCGTTTCCAAAATTATTTTTCGATTTTACTATTAAAAATTTAAATAGGTACGCGAGGTAAATTGAGATATAATGTCACACAACTTCATTACTTTAGTTTACAATAGAGTATCAATGATTTCCTTGGCTTAAACTTAATCATCAGCTGGCAACAAGTGCCATGATTTGTCCGTACATCGTCACAACGTTGCGTGCAACAACGGATATGTCTTCGACGAAGAGCGTTAACAATTCCATCACCGTGAAATGTAAAAACTATTACTTATATAAAAATGTTTTCTATTGTTAATTTATTATTTAAAGCTTGATATTTAAATAAAAATAATACGAATTATTTTCATAATGACGATTATTAATATGTAATTTGTAAGTAAATGTAGCATTTATTCCAGCGTTTCTCAAACTTAATTCATAGAACGTTCTTTAAAATGCTTTTCTTGACATTTTTAAAGATTTATGCGTTTCTTAGATCTTGTACATAATATTTTAATATTATATTTCATCTCGAAAAAATTGTAAAAATATTTTTGAGCCATCTTAACTATTGGAACATTTTACGGACAAGCGTATATTACAATTTAAGAATTAGTAATAACTAACAAAGATCATTAATTATTATGTATTTTTATTTCATCGTCATGATCTTCACAGCCTATCTAAGTCTTTCCACTTGCTACAGTTGCCACGTATAGCAGGCGGGTTGGTAACTGTTATTCAAAAAGCTTTTTTTTCTACCTGTTATGAGGGAGACGCTGCTGCCCATTACTTGTTTCAGAATCCCTCTTTCACTTCTTACGACATCCACGAGATGATATGGGGAAATAGAAATTCTTCACCACCACTTCGGTTATATATTTATTAATTTATTATAATATTTTTATTTTTGTGTACACAGGAAGGAAAATAATATTTTCAAAATTTTGAGAAACGCTGTACACAAGAGACATGACAAAAGCAGACATTTCCAGCAGAATTAAACTCCTTAAAACCTGAAAATGCTCAGCAGCGTCCAGCTGGAAAGTCGTCTGATCGACTACATCGATCAACGGCGTTAGCACCGCATCTCTTTTGTGCCGGATTCGTTGCAGAAGTGGTCGTAACCAATCAGCTCCAGCTTCGCAATGGGCATCCAGGAATATGAGAACATCACCTCTTGCTGCCCTGGCGCCTGTCATCCGAGCACGCATGAGACCTTGCCTGTGGAAGCATCTTGCTACCTTCAGATCACGGTATTTATAATGACTGACACATGACACCACATTACATAAAGCGTGATCAACGATTATGTATCATGCTACTTACGTTCTCACAAAATATTTATAGGTATCTTTCTAAAACATTATATTTAGCTTAAAGTATTTTAATATGTTTTATACATTTACTTGTACAGTTGTGATATTATGGTTATATAGGTATCGAAATTTTTCTCTCAGTTCATACCTGATTATGAATTATGAAAAACAAAATATAATAAACAAAGAACAAAAGGCAATCGTGTAAGATACATTTACTTAAACAATTGTGCATAGACACATTTACAAGCACACACATCCAGCCCATGTAGAAAACAAAAATATAAAATACTACGGTAGCCGAACCGAAAACAAACAAAAATCACAAGCAGTGCGATACGTGACGCAACACGTGATAAGTAAGCAATGGAGCGAGAGGAAACGTGATTTTAGAACAAACAAACAACAACGAGGAGATTTATACCAACTATTTCTTAAGCCCTTTATTCAAAATAACCTTTACAATAATTACTTTAATCTAGAGTTTAGCCTTTTATGTCCTACTGTACGGCATAGATCTACCCTTCAAGAAAGAGGAGGTAACATTGGATATTTGCGGAATGCTTTTAAAATATTTTATCTATGAGTTTCATAGTTATTCCCTCGCCATAGGACGTGGTAAATGAATTTATCTATACTTTTCAAAAACTACGTAACAAAACAATATAGTAAAACCCCTCCGATAATAGTACATATTATTTTGGTCCTGTTTATGTCAAGAAATAGTTGGTACAACCACCCACACCCAGCGGCCGCACCTGAAACACCTCCGGGTCCTGGACACTATAGTGGAAATTGCTAAACTCGATGACATCAATGATGGGTACAACTACGCTCTTAGGGGAATCTTTGATACGCTGCAACATTGGACGGAGCCAGTCCGGTTGGCCTTCACAGTGAGCGTCCAGAAACACAAGAACATCGCCCACGGCGTACCGAGCACCAGCCAGTCGTGCCCTCGTAAGACCCACGCTAAATAGAAAAAAATTCGATGAAAAATTTACTGGAAACTATTATCTGTACCCTTTTTGTGGTTTCAATGTCTAATTTTATAAGGCATATTTAAAGTATTAACGCAAATATTAGTATGTGAATAACATTTGCCATATTATGTGAATAATCATAAGTACGATCCTTAAGACATAAAATTATTTATCCTTAAGTGTACGAAAATGTCATTTTTATCAATAATGTGAGAATATAACAAATAATTATTAATTTTATTTAATTTCCTTATTATTGTTTGTGTAATAAAGATGATTATTAAGATTGAGATAAATATTTGTGTAAAAAGTATGCTGATGCGGCCTAAAGTAATTGATGAATTAGTAATGAAATCAAATACTTATTAAGACAAATTTAATGGAAGTTTGACTATATTACATCCGTTATCTATACCAAATCAATGAAATCGCTTTCAAGTCTCAAATTTTGTTGGACTTCATTGAACTACTCCCATTGTATTTAGTTCCTGTCAAATTAAGTCTAAGTATCTAAATTGACAAATCTATCTACATCAAAGACTGAGACTAGGCACCTCAAAATCCTGATTCCCAGGTTGGTATTCAAAGGTGTCTGATTCCAACATATCTATGATTGGAGTAACTGTCGCCGTTCTGTTTTCCTTGATACGCTGAAGAAGCGGCCTAAGCCAGTCTTCACTAACTTCGCAATGTGCGTCTAGGAAGACCATGACATCAGCTTTTGCCTTGCGACTTCCTGCTAGTCGGGCTTGAGTCAAACCCACCCTGGGTTTCATGACATTTCAAAATCAATTCAAAACTAATCATATACAATAATATATCATTATGATAAGCAAAAGTTCAGTACAGTTACAACCTTAAATATTATATGTATTTTGACAAATTGCTGCCAGGTAAAAATCTGATACAGGAGATGGGCAGCAGCATCTTCTAGATAACAGATCAAAATTATGAAAACTATGTTTGCCAACCGGCCTGCCAAGCGTGTTAATTGTGAAAAACATCTCCTCTATGATGTAATTTTTATTTAATAGAATGAGAGTGACAAACGAGCACACAATCCACCAGTGTGTGCTTGTTGCTTAGACATCTCACATCCATGAGTTATATCCAACACATACCGATCTGGCAGTCTTAGTATTCGTATGAGGTCAGGCGGGAGTCGTGTCCGAATATAGTGGCTAAGTTTCCCCTTCAGTTCCGGTAGCGTTGAATTATCATCCACCAGTATGATTTCCTTTAGATATACAAACGGTGATGTGGGGTCTTGACCAGGGTACCCTGCGATAAATATTACACTATTTTTTATATAGGTAATTAAATGAAGAAATTAAAAGGACTCTAGTAAGCTCACGAAACTTACCTAAATTCATAGTTTTTCCACTGGCCGTATCTACAAATTTGGCGTGTCGATACCAGGGCTGGTCTCGACGCGCACTATTCACAACGCTCCATATCGTCCGGACAACGACGGAATACGGCTCGTTGTGAAAAATGATGATCACTGAGGCTGACGGGAGTTCCGCATCGTAAAGAACACGAGCGCATGCTGGGTTACGGTGATCTATGGACAATAATTCAATTAATTCGGGTTTTTTTTTCCTTCATTCTTAACATTTATAGTTATAGTACAATTATTTAAATTTATATAAAAACTTTAAATTTAATATACAGCAATTAGATTCACAATCGCTTATTAAATATCCGACCGAAAACTGTTTTCAACCGAAACCTAAACCGTAACCAAATATTAGAAGTTAATTTAATAATTCTCACTATACCCCTAAAATCTTGTATTTTCGTAGCCTGATAACAGATAATTTGTTCGAGTTAAGATAAAAAGACTTCGTCGATTTTTTAATAAATTACTTAATTTTTGTAAAACAAGTAAGTGCAAAAGTATTTAGAACCCATAATCATCATATCATACTTATATCATTTTTGGAGTCTTAAGGTATCTATCATTATCAAAAAGTCTTTACTAAAAGCATTTCCGAGCCGTGGTAGCTCAGACGGTTAGCGCTCTCTGTAAATTTCACAGTATGCGAGCTAACCGGGATCGATACCCGGCAGGCAATTGAAATTGAAAGTGCTGATTTTTTACCACGTGCTCGGCGGTGAAGGAAAACATCGTGAGGAAACCTACATGTGTGAGAAATATGAAAAAAATATATTTCGAACACGTGAATATCGCCAACACACATTGGGGCAGCGCGGCGGACACTTCCTTGCCCTAAAACCCTCTCAGAAATGAGGGGAGGCCTGTGCCCAGCAGTTGGACGTATATAGGCTGTAACTAAAAGCGTTTCCATTACAGCCTATAAATTTCATTACTGAAAATAGGCTTCCCCTTAGATTGCATTAACATCATTTGCCGTAGTTGTACGTGGTAGAGCCATGTTGCAGCTATATTAGTAACAGTATAGTTGTAGCACAAATGGGTCGGCTCTACCGGGGAAGGACCACGCTCTCACAGAATACCAGCGTAAAATGGCATCTTGACACTGCTGTGTTTCGTATGGTGAGTGTAGAGAACCGGAGACCCATTTTACTGGAAAAGAGGCATTCTATCTTAGTCCTCACGGATAACGACGCATCTGCATTTTGATTCTTTATTAAAGATAAATGTCTATGGGTCACAGCAACCACTTACCATCAGATGGACTATGTGCTCGTTTGTCACCCTTATTCTATAAAAAAAAAAATAGTCGCCACGCCCGGCAGGTTTTTTCTTCTTTTGCTTCACATGTGATCCCATATAAATTTGATCAAGGTTTGACCAATAGTTTTTGAGTAATTCTTAATAATTTATGTTGAAGTTTTTTGTACAAAATTTTAAATTATAAATCTATTAAAATCTTCCAGATGTCAGGCATTATGAGTTGGCAGCCATGCCAGGAGATAGCATACAATTTTCGAGAAATATCACTAAAATGGGGTCAAAATCAATATTGTTAGTCTTAGCACAGGTATAGAGTAAGTCAGTATGGTCTTAGTATTAGTATTTAAGCCTAAGGTGTTTGCAGGAATTTGACTAAATTTCTTTGACCCCATTTCACTATTATACAAACAGGTGTTTGGTAGGTCTTAATTAATGGATGTTAACATGCCACTCAATTATGTAGAATAATTTGTAAGCATATTCTTACATTGTAACATGGGTGTATTAAAGTCAAGAGTTAATAAAATGTCATTATATTAACACCAGCTTGCTTTACTATCTTCAACTACGTCACCATTTTCCAACAGGAAGTATAAGCCACTACTACTAGCTATAAGACACTGCTTGAACAAAAACAAAAACATAATCATTCAGATGGCTCAATAGCACAGTAGCTAGAAGTATTTAGTAGCAGCACTGCGGGGCCGCGGGTTCAAATCACACTCGAAACATAGGTTGGTTTGTAAGGCCAATAATTGTCCTGGGTCTGGATAGTTACCCACATGCAATGTATGTATGTAAAATGCCTCCACTATAAAGAAGAAAATCCCATTGTAGGGTTATAATTTTCAATTATAAAAAAGTACATTTTTAAATAGTATATAGTTGTCTAAGGCATGGAAGTAGTAATTTTAATTCTGTAATAAGAAATAGTAGTTAAAAGATTCTGATAAGCACACGGTGCATTGTTCGCAGAAATAATTAATTTCAAGGTTTTTCCAGAGGAAGGATTATTTTCAAACTGTGCAATAAAAAATGTTAAAAATGACTGTTTTATTTAACACTATTTTTCGGTAAATAATGTTCTATACATTATTATAATCGGTTATCTAGACTAAGATAGTAAAGCGCACTGACTTAGTTTCACAATTCTTTTTATTTTTGCTTAAGGCACCCAAATTACCTCAAAGTGGGGATATTAGCCATAGATGCCGGAACAAACTTGTGTCTGAAGTCGAGACTTTGTTGAACAAAGTCTCAGACTGAGGGCGGCTAAATCTAGTCCAGTTCAATCCCCAGACGACACAAGTTTTTTTTTTATAGAATATGGGTGACAAAAGAGCACACAGTCCACCTGATGGTAAGCGGTTGCTGTGGCCCATAGACATCTACATCTATCTTAGTTTGCGAATTAAAATGCAGATGCGTTGTCAGCCGTGAGGACTAAGATGGAATGCCTCTTTTCCAGTGAAAAGGGTCTCCGGTTCTCTACACTCACCAAACGAAACACAGTAGTTTTAAGCTAAGTTTGCGCGTTTACCGCTAAAAAGAACCCCTTTGTCGTATCTCCTGAGTTTCAAGGAACTCCCCTTGCTGCCTCAGCCAGTATCGGACTCCTCGGAGTCGACATATCGAGTGACGTGCAGTTTCGTGGTCACTTGGAAGAGAAGGCCAAATTGGGCTCTATAAAGCTTGGCGTGCTCAGCAGAGCGGGACAGTATTTCATGCCGGCACACCGTCTGCAATTTTACAAGGCGCAGGTTCGGCCTCACATGGAATACTGTTCCCATCTCTGGGCAGGGGCTCCTCAGTGCCAGCTCTTTCCACTTGACCGCATCCAGCGTAGAATCGAATCGTCGACGACCGAGTTCTTTCCGATCGGCTTGATTCACTGGCACTGCGTAGAGATGTTGCATCGCTTTGCATATTTTATAGCATCTATCACAGGGAGTGCTCTGAGGAATTGTTCGGACTAATTCGAGCCGCTCAATTTCACCGTCGCACATCGTGACAAAATTCGCGATACCGTCCATACCATCTGGATGATTGGCGGTCCACCACTGTGCGATTAAGAAGTTTTCTTCCTCGCACAACTTCCTTGTGGAATCAATCAAAGAAATGTGGAAAAGAGCCTACTCTTCTATCTATCTATCTTTAAAAGGCCGGCAACGCATCTGCAATTCCCCTGGTGTTGCAGTTGTAGTGTAGTGGTGTTGAGAGTGAGAGAGTGGTGCTGGAATTAGCGGTGACGGGGATAGTGCACGCAATGGAGGGAGGGCGGGAGGTGCTCTTCAAACTAGGTAAGACACATCATTTTATTTTATCGAGCGGACGTACGCGAGGTAATTTTTTTCAATCTTTAATATAATGGATTTCCGCAAAGTAACGCCTGATTCTGTTAATTATATTAGACTAGAGCTGGTACCCATGGCATTGCTGTTTTTGTGGAAATATCGTTCTCGACTTCAGAGACAGGCACAGGCACACCCCTTTTGAGGCAAACTGTGGGGGAGGCCTATGTTCAGCAGTAGATTTTAATAGGCCGTAACGGTAACAGTATTCAGCATCTGAACTTTTACAGATTTGTATTGTACTACTTTACATTAGATAATGTGAAACTAAACTTTGGATGGAGCCCTGGAGCAAAGCAGCTGCAAAGAAGTTAGGTATCCTTGCCAAGATGTGGCGATACTTCACGCTGGGCAGTTGCTTATACTGTATAAAGTGCAAGTCTTTCTGTGCATGGAGTATTGTTGTCATGTATGGGCTCTTGCTGAAAAATGCCACCTAGCAGCTGTAGACTCGATAAAATAAGGGGCTTATTGGTGACACCAATATGGTTAGAACAAATCTTAGAAATCTCAAGCACAGAAAGTAGCCAGGCTTTCGATTGTTTACAGGATACATTTTTGAGTGTGTGCTGCATGACTTAAATCATCCGTCATGAGACTACCAGATGCTCAGCTTGTCTTCACCCTTTTGTGGTTGACATACCACCTATTCAAACGAAACGGTTTGCTTCGTCATTCATAATGTACAGCAAAGGAATGGAATAATTTGCCTGCACCTTTCTTTCATTCGATTAAAATTTGGGTGTTGCGCCTCTACACGAGGCATCTTCAGGTGATGTCGTATTGTCGTCAGAGGTATGTCTTTACTAGTGTAGTGGTGTTGGGACTTGGGAGTAGTGGTGCTGGGATTAGTGGTGACGATAGTGCACGCAATTGAGGGAGGGCGGGAGGTGCTCTTCAAACTAGGTAAATATGTTATATAAATATATAAATACGGGTGACAACGCATCTGCATATTGATTCGTAATCGAAGATAGATGTAGATGTCTATGGGCCACAGCAACCACTTACCATCAGGTGGACTGTGTTCTCGTTTGTCACCTTTATTCTATTCTATATATATATATAAAAAGGTAAGACACATAATTTTATTTTATCGAGCGGATGTACGCGAGGTATTTTTTTACTAAATTTAATCTAGTCTAATATATAAAAATTATTTTTTTGTTTATTCGTATTATGCGTTGCCATACCGTTCATCAGATTGCGCTAAAACTTTATCGACTTAAGCATGTGTTGCTGATGATACTTCGTTGATTTTCCGACTAAAAAGGCAATTATTGAAGTATGACGAAGTGAACAATGCTATATCAAAAGTAGTATAATTAGCTTTTGAACGGTAATAAAACGAAATGTATTAAATTCACTACACCTAATGTTAAATAATATCCAAACTTAATTTCAATACTTACCATCGCATGATCAGAGCATTACTCAAAATGGCGCCTCCTAAGACCCCAAGAAAACACATTACTCTATACAGCGGAACCCATATCGCAGGAACTAAGGAACCAACATCATATCCATTTGCAATTCAGATCAGAGTTAATG